TCATACTATGCAAACATGAATTAAAACAGCATTTTATTAAATAGAGTAAACTTACAACTTCCGTAAAGGCGGAAAAGAATAGACCGGGAGTAGAATTCCTCCAGAAATTATTCTAAAACTACTAAAAGGCTAAACTAATATTTATAAATGGAATATTAAGCTCAAATCCCGAGAGAGGGGATGAAAGTGATGTGGTGTATGGGGAGAATCGTGCTGTATTTATAGGAACGAAGCCAAGGCGTCCAAGTCAAAGCGTCCAGATCGGGACGCTTGAGCTGCTCCGGCCAACCAGATTTTGCCACGTGTCTTTCTTGGATTGCAAACTAGACCAGGCGTCCAACTGCAAGCGTCCAACTTGGCCAAGCGTCCAAGTTGGACGCCTGGAGGCCTTGGTCCGTTGGGCTTCGCGGCTGTTTCATGATTTTGGCCCAATTTCGCTCCGTTTTGGCCCCGAACACTGTTTTTGACCTCCCGGAAGCTCGTTCAAGTCCGAATCTTGATCCCTTGATGATTTATTCCCTTTCTCTAAAATACTTGAACAAAAATGAATGATTTATGATGATTTCATGTGGAATCCCATTTTATGACTCTTAGAACGAAAATGAGAGTTTTATCCATTAAAATCACATTTTATGAGATGATTAAATACTATTTACGAGCAATAACGTTTAGAATATGATGTAAATGATAAGAACGAAACGGACTTATCAAATTCCTCACACTTAAACGTTGCTTGCCCTCAAGCAACAAATTGAATAAGTATAAGTATGAAGACAAATTAATAATTGCAGAGGGAAGGTTTAAGCTACATATTATGAAGGAAAAAAGAAATAAGATAGTCATCAACCTTTTTGTTAAGAGGAAATGAACCTTTAGATTCTCACCCATATTGTTAGAAATGTAAAAGAATTTTGTCAAATCAATGTTTTTACATCAACCTAAACAACCGTAATTTTCCAAACTTTCTTTGGGATAACGACATTTGTAAGAGTACTTTAAAGATCAAATAATTTTTTTTAATGACTAAATTAGAAAACATGTTCTTGCAAAAGTATTAGTCAAAGTGTAAGGGTTTAATTTTCTTTGGCACAACTTTGTCATGTTGACACGAGAAAAATTTATAACCTCATCCCGTGACATAGAACCACTAGCTTTTTGGATATTCACTCTGGAAAGTCTCATCACACGACATAGAACCGCATGCTTTTTGACTCTAACACTCAAAAGGCCTCATCACGCAATATAGAACCACGTGCTTTTCGGCATGCTCACCACGCCTCATCAGTTGATCTAGAACCAACTGCTTTTTGGCTAAAACAAGAATCTCGGTCTCACCAAAGTATATTTTGAAACATCAACCCTTATACTTTGAAAATAACTCTTTTCAAGAAACAACAAATACTCCTAAAAGCACCAGCAAAAATATTTTCAATAAAGCACTTAAAAATTAATTGATCTAAAAAAGAACTCTTAATAAATTGTGAATTTATCCCAAATCATTTCAGAAAACATTCCCAAAAGGTTAGAGTAAAAATAGAAGTTTGACAAAAATTTTAAAAATTTCCAATTTCCACGGGTGATAACTAAAGAGTAATTAATCAAACAATTAAAGTTGATGATTATTCTATAAAAATCTTTTCCTAAAAATATATAGACAAAACAATTCCTAAAAATATCATTTCAACCAGGAACTCTTACCTCCTCACACTTAAACGGAACCACGCCCTCGTGGCTAAAAGTATTTTGGAATTGGAGTTAATGGTTGAAATGAAATGCTCACATGCAATTACTAAGTTATCTCAATACTTATAAAATTCAAAAATGAAGACTGAAATAATAAATGACCATAACATGTAAATATGAAATAATGCATAAAACTTCTCAAAATGGGTTTAAGAGTCATAATGTGAAATTCCAAAATAAGATCATATAAATATCCAAAAAACGATGTTCTGAATGCAGTATTAAGAAATTAGGGATCTCACTATCCCTGACGTTTTCCTTGTTTCGGACCTGCCCCATGCTCAGCCTTCTTTGTTCCTTGTTCCCGGGTGTATTCAAGTATTTCCTCCACCTGCCATTGTTGCGTGACGAGGAGTGTCTCCATGCTCCTTAAGCGAGAGTCCACAGAATCCTGGAATGCAAACATAGCCTGTGAAAGCTCGCGAAGGGTCATGGGAATTCTATGCTGCTTTCTGGGGCGTGCCTCCTTGTCCTCCTTATTATAAGCGATCTGGATTAAATACGTTGTCGATGGTCGGAATATGCTTGCAGCCTCTGGGAGAACATTAGGGACTGTCATACATAATCCTCGGGCCAGAAGCGTAACCATTGGCCCACACAAGACAAACTGGTGGTTGCTAGTCGACTGAGGAAATAGGAATCGGGCCACAAAAGTTGCTAAATTGACTGGTACGCGCGCTTCCAGACTCCAGAAAAATAGCATATCAGAATCAAACACTACATCGGAGTCACGAGAACGGCCCAAATAGCTGTGAGTCAATGCATGGTGTAAAATCCTCCAAGACGGATGCACCCAATTCCTGGCTATGCTTGCTCCACTGTGATATCGTCCATATCCGTGAGCTTGCCAGAACTTCCTCACATCGAACTCCGGATCCAACTAGTCGGGCAGATTAGCAAAGGCCAAGCTTCGCGTCTCGTCAAGTGTGTAAAGACCAATCAGCCACCCTAAGTCTGCCACAGTAAGGCTCAGCAGTCGACCGATTAGAGTGAATGTGAGCTTGGTGGTGGAGGTGACTTCAGCTGTTGACTTTACTTCCTCTCCGTTATTGTGGAAGCGGAGAGAGCAAAGAAACTCAATGGTGACTTCCAGGCTTGCTGATGCTTGCAGGAACAGCAGGATCCTTCATTTTGGGTTGTACAGAAACTCATCGATGTCCTGCCAGTGCCCTAGTTCATCTAGATAGGCAGGGTCTAACACCATGGGAGGCTGGAGCATCTTCGTGTTTCCCCAAGTGAGAAACTTCTTCCTTGCTTCCTCTGAGTGCAAGGTGAGCTCTTCCAGGTTCTGCAATGTGCGGCGGTTTCCATGCGGAATCATCCAAGCAACATCCATCTGTAAAAAAGTATAACGAGTAAAATCTTGCCCCCCTACTGGTGCGGCAAGTAAAATATAGATAAGCATTTTAAATAATTTAATTATCTGAATGACGGGTTGCCTCCCGTTTAAGCGCTTTGTTAGCGTCCGTAGCTTGACGCTAACCCACTTTTTCCGTGACTTTCCGATTCGAGAGTCATAAAGTTTGGCCCTTTTGACTCTCTTCTGATGCCACCCTGTTGGAACTTCTGCTCGGTCAAGGTCCAGGATCCTTGACTCATCCCTGCGGCTTGGTGGCAACAGGGTATATGGAGGAGACTCTGTATAGGTGGGTGGGGGCGGAAGTCTCCCCAATAGATCCACATCGTTAGCCTTGATTGCGAAATTGATTTCTTCCTTATCTTCAATTGGCTGACTATCCATTTGTGGTTTGATGATTATGATCGTACCCTCCCCCAAGGAAGAGTCCTCGTCGTCACTCATTAGGAGTTCATCCCAACTCTTTAAGTTCCAACCATCCTTCGGGCAGACATCGTCACACCCGTCAAGTAGGGAGTCAAAGAAGGTTTGGTCTGAGTCTTCAGATGAAGCATTACGTACATATGTTTCTATACACGGAGTTGGCTTTTCTATGCAAAGTATTTCCTCGCCTGTAGATTCCTGCTCGGACTCTTGGCCATTGGTCTCTTGGGGGCAGGTAATGGGCTCTATTTCCTCTGGAGTTGTGCCTTCAACACAATTAAGGAGATGGTCGTTTATTGCCAAAGGCAAAACTTCCTCCTCCTTTTCTTGAATGAGCGTAGGTGGTTCTGAGTCAGGTCCCTCAGATGGTTCCACCTCTTATACAACTATGCTGGTTGAGACTTGGCTAGGAGGACATTCAGGTAACATCACCACAGTAGCCCTAGCGAGAGTTGTTATGCTCTCGGGTTTCTGTGATGGTGAAAAACTTGGTGAATCTTCTAGAACTGGAACCTGATGGTTGAATGGTTTAGGGTTGGTCTTAGGTTCTAGAGCCTCGTTTTGAGCATTAACCTCCCTCATTTGATCTTGAGATTGGAGGGAGCGTTTAAGTTCAACAGCCTTACAGAGATCATTGACTAATTTATCAGCTTTAGCCTCGGCTTCTAGTCTCTCTCTTTGGAAGTCATCCAACATTTTCTGCATCATCTCTGATCCTTCGCATAATCTCCTTTTGAACTCCTTTTC